TATATTTAGGTATATGCTGTTGAAAATATATATATATATATATATATATATATATGGGAATCCGGAAAATCAGGCCATCCTGGTTGCTAGGACGGCCTGGTTTTCCTTTTTTCGTATATATATTTAGGTATATGGAGATTAAAGAAAGAAGATTCTATGGGCTTATAAGCACAACTCACAGGGTATAATCACCATTAATCAAGCGTCTTAGCCCTCGCTAGCTCGAAGCATAGAGATCAAAATATTTAAATTTTATTATTATTATTATTATTATTTTAACTTGTGGCAATCTTTTCTCTTAATCACACAAAACCATTAATTGGACGTCCCAAATTGTAACGAGGGGTGAAAGAAGAAGTCAGGACCAACATAATGATATGTACATTGCAGCAGAATATTATTACCCCACATGTTAGTACTTTTCCTAGGGGCCTGAGCCCAAGCAGCAGCAGCCCACATGTGAATGAATTGGGGCTTTGTGGAAAAATGGGCCCAACAAATATTTTAACCTGGGCCGGCCTGATCAGGTGAATTTTGACTCTTGTCCTGGAGTGGATCAGGATGAGTCTGCATCAGATGGCTATTATTATTCCACTTCAGGACAGGCGTTACCAATGATGTTATTATCTATTATTAACAGAGTCATGTTGTTCCTGAATATTTTGGGGGCAGCATACTTAAATTGTTAACTATATACCAATGATGTTATTATCTATTAACAGAGTTTGTAGTCATGTTTATATTTAAAATTGCAGGTTCTTGGTTTATGAGTATGTCAACAATGGAAATTTAGAACAATGGCTTCTTGGGGCTATGCCGCAGAAAGGATATCTTACTTGGGATGCTCGCATGAAGGTCCTTCTTGGCACAGCTAAGGCGTAAGTCCATACCAGTAATCTGGTTCTCTTACAAAAATTTAACTTGATATACTTTTTGCAGCCTAGCCTATTTGCACGAGGACATTGAACCCAAAGTGGTGCACTGAGACATTTAAGTCAAGCAATGTATCACTAGCGGTGCCAAAGATAATAAAAAATAACTTTAAATTTTAAGTACAATACAAATATATAATTTTTAAAAGTTAAAATTAGTTTTTTTTTAATGTACCATGATTGATTCCTATCTTTTAAATCATGTTAAAAGAATTTAAAATAAATATTACTAGAATTGATTAGAAGCATTCATAATCAACATTTAAAATTTCTCAACTAAACATTCAAGAATAACTAAATATCAAGAATAGTTTTATTATGAAATTTTAAGAACTCTGGAATGATGCTTCTTTAAGGTTTAATTAGAAAAATAAGAATATTATTTTAAGAAAAATTATAAATTTAGGATTCAAAGAGTGGAGTCATGAAACATTTTTAAGGAGTAAAGTTGTAAACAAAACATTTTTAAGGAGTAAAGTTGTAAACAAATTAGAAATTTAGAATTTGGGTTATAATGCATGATTAAAAAGAAAAAATTAATTAGAGAATATAAGCATATTTAAAGGTAAAATTATAGACCAAACTACCTATATTGATTTTAAAATTTTATAATTCAAACTAATTTAATTTTATATTAATTTGATTTGATTTTTAATTGAACTAGATTAATTTAGGTCAAATTCATTATATTGGATTGAATATGAACATTTTTACTTTGTAATAGTTAAGCACTACTAATATTTTTTTTTTTCCAAGAAAACAATGCTAATAATTTGGTTGGTAGTAAAATCATCTTCCAATGATAAAGCCGACATTTATGTCCTCTCTGTTTTGAAAAAAAAAAAATTAAGCCATATCAATAGTTAAATCTTGACCGTTATTGTTCTTATTATTATTATTATTATTATTATTATTATTATTATTTAGTAAGTAAGCCCCTCAATTTCTTATGCTGCAAAAATCAACCCAAAGTAGGCTATAAATGTAATAAAAGTTTAAACTTTTTGACTTAACCCTAAATTAAGGTTTTGTAATTGAAAGAGAATTATAGAAGTTAAAAAGGCATTTTGGAATTATTATATTGCAAGTTTCATCTCTTTCTCGCAGTTGGTATCATCGTATTGTACTAGGGTCATTATCAATATAGAAAGAGACAATGGCATTGGAGCATTAGACATGGGATTACTTTGAAGGGTCAAACAAGGAACTCTTTAGTCTTTACTGGTGACATGTTTTAGATTAGGTATAATTGATTGCCCATGAATTGGGCAAAATCATTGGTGAAGAAGTTAAGGGCCTGGAGGACTAGGGAACAACATAAAATAGTGTAGGGCCCTATTTGGGCCACTTTCTCGAAGCCCAATACTCCAGGTGGTTGGTCCATTAGACCAAAATCTGAAACACAGGCTTATGTGCCTTAATGGGCCGTCAAAAGACACAAGCAGACCTGGTGGCCTACCATCAAAACCAATATTTTAAGCCTTTTAGGAGAGGTCATAATAAAGTAATGGTATGTTATTACTTACGTGGTAAGTATTAATTTTATCTATATAAGGAAAATATAAATAAATGTTAAGTCCGTTATAAAGAATAGGGTTAAATTGTCTAAATCGATAAGTTTATGAGTTTATTTACTTTAATAAAAATTTAAAAACTTAATTGAGAATTTGAGATAAATTTGAGGATTAAGGTTTTGCCTTTGAAAAATTGCATTTATTAGTCTAATTTTGGCTTTTGCAGAAAATTTTTTTTTTCAAAAAATTGGAACAAATAAACATGCAATCAAATTCATAACTTGTACTTTTTGTAAATGTGCTTTCATTGTTCACAACTTTCCTAATCATTGTTGAAACATTTTCTAATTATCTCCCGAGTAGAGGGAGCTCTTTCTTTGTGGATCATGACGGCTATCATGTTTGATATAATTAATGAAAAAGTGAGACTGGGGAAAATTTAAAGATTGTTGAAACAATGTTTTGTTTTTTGGTCTTCCACATTGGGTGATGATAATGTTTTTAGTATTTTTTTTTATAGAGATTAAGGATTTAATCTTAAATTTGTAATTAAGAATACATATAATTTTACCATCAGATTATATAGCGGATAGTTGATGTTTTCAGTAATAACAAATGTTGAGTTTAAACTTTTTTTTCCTTCTTTGTGCATTTAGAATATATCTTGAAACCCAATGGAATATTACTTTGAATGTTTTAGTTAAGCAGGGGATACTTCTTTATTGCCTTTCTCTTCAAAAAGACAAAAGAGCCCCTATAAGACATAGGAATGGACGCGAAAGGGACACTCCCAGTAAAAGGAAGAAATTTCATAGGTTTGAAATGAAGAAATTTATGAGCAAGAAAAAAACAAAAATAATGACATGAGAAGGAAGAAGCCTAAAGCTAACAGGTTGAATATCTTATCCCTTTTTCTTTAGATT